CAAGTTTCTTTTCCATCGCAAGCCGCCCTAGGGCTCTGGGGATAGGAACTGACTGCGTGAACGACAAAAAAAACTTATAAAAAAACTTGTAAATACTAATTTAAAATTAGGCGTTATAATTTTTAGGTCAGTCCTAAACTACCAAACCAAAAATTACACCCCCCCCCCCCCCCCCCCCCGCAAAAAAAGAAAGAAAAGCGTGAAAAGAAAACTTATAGATCGAGTGCTGAGATATCTTTGTACGTTATACTGAGATTCAGTATTTGGCGTGCCTCCTGAGAGCAGGCGAAACCTTCTTAGGGCCTGCTGCACCGAAATCCATGTCGTCTTGTTTTCATCTTGTGAGGGAAATTGCAACAAGTCGAAGTTATCGAGCGTGCATTATGACAGAAAGATTAGTTGCTCAATACCAATAAGGAAAATAAAGAATCAGTGTGTTCGCTGTAAGACTGACGTGGCTCAAAAACTGAAGAACTGTTGTTACACGTTAAAGCATAGGAACCGGTGATGATTACAGTGATATGACTGGGGCGGGACGGGGTTTGAAAAACTCGATCTCAGTAAATTGCTACCACTGAAGCTACAATTTTAATCAGTAGAGTGTGGTTTTTATATGGGTTGAAAGGTTTAATAGCCCATTCATTCAGCTTCGCCGCCCCCGTCTCCGCCGTACCTGTGAACCAGCCATAACAATATTCAAGAGCATTGATTGGTCGATGTGACGTACGTTTTGTTCAGTTCAGAAAGGAAATAAACTTGAAAGTCACAGGTTCATGATGCCATATTGATGCCACATTGTCAGTATTCTTTATATGAATTTTGAAGTAGTGACAAGATATGGACGAGAAGCAGCTTTACAAAGCAAATAGTACTTATCAGTCTTGTCTATTGTATTTTCTTCTGCTGTCGATGTCTTCGGTGTAAAATAACAGTCTTTTGAACTTGAAGCTAACTTTCTGTTGTGTCGTGATTGATTTCTCTTCATTCCTCAAGGATCTCCCCAGTTTTATTAATTCTCCACTTCTGAATCTTTAATCTGCAAAGGTTGTCCATCACTACAGATATAAAATAATATGAATTTATAATAGAATAATATGAATTTACAATAGAATAATATAAATTACAAAAAGAAAGAGAAAAGAAGAACTATAAAAACTATTTACAAGAAAAAAAAATTAATACTAAAGTTACATTTCAAGCTCATTTTCATTGAAAGCTCAAAATTTCATTTCAAGCTCATTCCAAAATATTCAAGTCCAGATCTGCTTGTGTTTCTAGAGCGGTAACTTTTATTGATTAAATGAGGGCTTGAAGTTGTAGTTTATTCTTAATTTCCTTTTATTTCTTGCCTCGGTTTAACGGACTCGGGGATCAACTGGTGCAAGTGCTCTTCTTATCCTTTGCATTGACGGAAAAACTCTTGAATCACAACCTTTATAGGCGAATTTAAAACGAAACTTTTGTATGGCACGGCCATGTGACAAAGATCGGTGCAGCTTCGAATAATTTAATTAGCGGTTTTAATATCATATTTTAATCGGAAAGTAAACATCTCTAAGCTCCATGAAATTCAACCATGAAAAGGGCCTTGTCTTTAATTAGCAATAATAAATCATATGCATCGTAACGTATGTTATCACAAACCAATAAACCAACTTGATGATTGATATGCAGAATACAGGCTTATCAGGGTTCGAAAAAGATGCACCGGCACCCAGAATGTGTAATCTTTGAATGGGATACCCATTTTATTTTACCGGCCACATTAACGGTTCTAAAAAATAAAAATAAAAAGAATATAAAGTACCAGAGAAGTACCAGAGACTTATTTTGGCGCTGTGGTTGGCCGTGTTATGTTCTTAGCGTTGTTTCATTGGTTCGTTTGCCTTTGTCTTTTGGATGCAATGAATTCCATAATACATAATAATAAACTGACTTTTTCATTATACATTTTGCAACCATTTAACAAGTCTATCGATATCTCTGCTCCTAGATTACGTTTGGCCACAAATGACAAAGTAAAATGCGGAGCAGTTTGCGTTTCTTAGTTCAATCAAAAAAAGGAGCTCTGAATTTCATTTGTTCATTTGTGAATAGCTATGTAAGTTGAAGATCTTAGTCAAAAACATTCAACATCTTTTGTGTTGATTTTGACAGCTATATCCTGCATGGAGAGGATATCGAAAATAAGAGAACCTGTCGGAATTGAGAGGAAATGATTGGACTGAGTCTTTATGAGCCTTTATGCGGTGATGTTTTGTCGGACAGCAACTGAAGTACCGTTCAGTAGAACAATAAAAAAAATTGTCAAACGAAAAGAGATTTTGAAGAACATCTTTCTAGAGAAAATGGCCTGCTTCACTTGGACTAGTTTACGTAATTGGAAATTTTGTGAAATTTTTCGCTTGTTTATAGTTTCCATTACGAAGCTATTTTTAAAACTGCAGGTTTTGTCCAATTGCTTCCCTTTAGCAGTTTTGTTTACCCAATCTTTTCTCATTGGAGAATGTGTCATGAACAACAACTGCTGGTTTCATCAACATGGTTCTAATGCCAAGCGTTCCTTGGCAAAGCTGCCTTGACGTAGTTGGCTTAGCTATGGATTAATCGCAGACTTTCTGCACTGGATCCTTCGTGACATTCAATAAATGAGTTGTTCCACTCCGATAAGTCGAGAACATCTTTGTATAAATCAAGCTTGTTATGGCTGCCTCATTATACATGGTCAACATGTGCAGTATATAATACACGTCTCCAGGTCAAAGTCGTATAGCCTTATTGATATTTACTGTTTGTACTACTGTTCATATGAGCTTAGGATTAGGCGCAATACACCTATCTATTTCTCCAACATGGAACAAAAGAAAGAGATTATCGGAAGGAACTCTTTACACTGTCTTTACACGAGATTATGAAACGGAAAAAATAATGAAGAACGGATTTGTCGTTTGAAAAGCTCGATCTACAAACTAAGCTAAACTATAGTAGCTAGTTTACGGATTTATTAGCTAATTGTTGCAGCCTTTTGCACGGTTTGAACCCGATCGAGTGGGAAAATTGCGGCGGGGTGGACATGGCCTTTGATAAAGGAATGTAGTCCAAGGAATTAACAGGCTCTAGGGTTTCATTGCTATTGAAAAAGGACTATGTATGATAGATCCCATGTTTGCTGGATGGCATCTTATGCCCGCTTAATCAATCTTCACGGATTAGTGCGCACTTAAAAGGTGATTACATGGGATATGTTAGACCGATAGCCTTTGACGCGCGCTTCAACACACGACGTTTGAGTATGCTAGTTAATTTAATCAAATCAACACTTTAATCGATCATTCCAATTATCACAGCCTTACCAAATACTCGATGTTGTACAAACTTCATATTCCACTGGTTAAGTGAAAAAATCTATGGACAAAATTCTAGCAAAGTCGCTTTTGTGTTATTGATGGAGCTTGTTGACTTGTCGGTCTCGAAGTAATTGGGTTTCGACTGTAAAATGCAGAAACAATGGTTTCACATGGTCTTTCAGCTACTCAGTAATTAACAGTAAACTAGATAAAAGAGGGAAATTTAACTGCAGTCGAGGAAAAGGAAATGAAAGATTTTTATGAAGATTTCTTTAGTTTAAAAATAATTCAATTAACTTCTTCGCCGGCATCTTTCGATTGCAGATGCTACGAGTTTGCAAAGTTAATTCTAAGCAGAAATAAAGCCATCTAAAAGAAAAAGAAATCAGTTTATTATCTGGATATGCATTGTCTGTTAGACATATTGAAGTTAAGGTACACACCCCAAAGTTCAAAGGACTCTAGCTTATCATTTGTGTGGGCCAATCAGAGCCTAGTAATACTCGTTTTGCTAATTTGCTTTGAGCATGTGTTTGAAGTTGGTTTATCCCTTAGTCATCCTCAGCTCRAATTGAATTTCCTCTAGGTATCACTGAGTCGTTTACTCGTGTCCCTCTCAATCAGTCAATAGGCTGAGCTTGATGAGACCACTCTTTGAACAAAAAACAACACCCAATCAACCTCAAGTGTGCACCGATTACCATCCACTCGATCTGTGATAAGATACTCTTCATTTCTTAAAGTCTATTGTCAGCCCAGTTTGTTTATCTCATGGACCATTTAGGGCGAGTAAACTTGTAGATCTGGCCTTGTTCATTAGGAAAATACTTAGTCTAATTCAATCATTTACAAACCGATAGCAAATCTTGGGAAACAAAAACTGGGCAGCAATGAAATTTTTAAAATGGCATTTTTGCCGGACAAAAAGTTTATACAAATTAAATCATTACTTCTTTCGTGACTATGACATGTGAAAGGATGACTTGACTTTTTCAACGGTACGTTTTCCATAATCAATTCTAATATGACAAGTTCAAGTACTTATAAATAATTCTCTCATTTCTTAATAAATTGGTCGATTCGATACCACTTTATCAGAGACCACACAATTGGACTACACGGCTTACCCAAATTGAAGCAAAGCTTTTCAACATTTATAAAAATAATAGATCAATTTAAAAAGGGAAATGATCGTAGTTAATGTATGTGCTCCGTTCATAAATCCAAAAACAAGCTTTAAAGGATCTTACTCGAGTCAGATGAAATAATCCCGGATTAATAGGCACCAAGTGACGATACGCTGACAGGGAAAATATTCGATAAGAGGTTGGATTTGTCGAAACTACGGATAAGGGTGACGTGAGCTGTCAGGGCCTTGATCAACGACTCCATAATGAAACTTGAATTAAGCCTCTTTTGAAAGTATGCATGTGTAAACATGCTGAAACAAAATCCAGCTTTGTGTTGAGCTAAGGAAGAGCTGTAGGAAGGTCAACCAAGAATCGGCAAGGACAGCTGGTCAGGATTAGACTACGAGCTGCCTGACCACAAAACGCTAACATGACTGCCAAGAACGTTAACGAATCCCCCAACCGAACCACTCAACAAGAACAGCCGGAAAAACCCTTCTTACCTTTTTCCATCGAGAACATCCTACGAAAAGATTTCAAGTGCCGTGTTCCGGTCCAGGAAAACAGTCCACCTACAGTACACCAAGTTCGAAGCAAGAAAACATCAGGAAACGAAGCCAGTACAAAATCGGCTGAAAACATCTTCATGCGACTTCCATGGCTAGCATATACACGTTATTGTCCGCCTAAAATACCAAGTAAGTTTTTGGTTGAATTCTCATAAGTACTTCATAGAGAAGTTGTAGCGTGCTCCCGCAAATCAAAACTCCTTTGTAAGATTGTTTTCTTATTAATTGAATGAGGTACTTAAGAAAACAAAATAACCTCACCAGGGAAACTCGAAATCAAGAAAGAGAACAAGTGATCGTTTATTTAGTGATAAGATTTAAGAAAGAGAGTGCCTAAAAGGTGTATCARTGTTGAAGAAAAACTCGAGTAGCCACTTGATTTTTTTTCTTCTTTCGTCTTTGTTCGTGTTTTACTTTGTTTGCCATGTTTATTTCGGCAAGGTGTAACGTCTAATATTCAGAACTGCTTTTGAAAGAAGGTGATAAAGTTGTCAACGAAACGCTTTAAGCGATGCAGCTTTTGTGGCAAAGCAACACTAGAACTTACTAAACTAGACAGATCCCTTCCCGAGTTATGTTCACATTTGGTTTGTTTACTGATTCTAATGGTGTAAGTCGAAACCACACGTATTAATACAAATGGGTGTAAGAGAGCCTTTTCGACAGCTCGACCGATAAACGGAGGAGAGACAAAGAAACGCGCAAAAATGTATCATGAAAACCTGTCCAAATTAAGTAACCATCTCTGGTAGACTTTATTTCTCTGTACTAAATAGGTTCATCTTGCTAAGTTCACATATCGCCCGCAATACCCACATAGCTAGAGCTAGATTACAATGAGTACTGGCCACAGATATTAGCTTTTACGATATCTAATGTAGTGCAGGCAGACCCTTAACCAACAATTCAAAATCTTGTGCTATCAGTCTTGTTCTTAGTGTTTTTGAAAGAAACTGAGCTCTCGACACATTGTTCTGATTTAGCTGCCATTCAGCCCTGCAAATGACATGCTTATCAATAAAAACGCTAGCTTCTCTCCAGCGGTTACTTACGGCTTTGACGATTCAATTTTCCTTCACTCGTAAGCAGTTCGAGTTAAAGGCTGTCGACAATTTGTCCATGTTCAAACAGGAAACTTTGAATGGACAGGAAATCCACCAAAAAGACCGCGAAGTTTGAGAAAATAACATTGTTTGATTTGTTATTCAAGATGGCGGGTCAGAGTATGTACATAGAGAAGACGTGTTGTTTTGTCTCTAGCTTTGATTTAGCAAAGATTGCAAATCACGGCCTTCTATTTGGAATTAACTTGCAGCTAAAACATTTAACCTGAAGTACTGAGCAAAGTTTTAGTCGTTGTCAAATGAAAAAGGGACTTCTCGGGCCTTCATTTCTTGACTTGGATGACTGGCCTTAGTCTGTGAGACTTGTTAATCCAAAATCTATACATTCGACCTCATTTTATTGTCTTTATATTTTAACTTCAAAATATTTCCTAGATTTTCGATTCTTAAAATGATGACAAATAGGCATGGAATAAAGCAATGATGTTAGGCAATGCAGCCGTTTTCGTGATTCCAAATTTACTAAAAGAAATGGTCACATAGGTGGGACAACCAAATAAAATCAGAAAATATTCTTCAGTTTTCTTCTGACAGTACATCTATGTTTCTATATTCTGGCATTACAACATTGTTACGCATGGAATAACTGACAGAAAGGTGCCCGTAGATGATAATCCCTTTGCTATGCCGCGTATTTGTTCTGTTACAGTGTGCTGTGAAGAACAGCTTAAGTTAAATCCTCTATGTAAAGGCTTTGAATGCATTCTTTTTCTATTTTACGTACGTAAGTTTTTACTTCCTTATTCAAGCTAACCTGATAATCTCTTTAAATCTTCACGGCAAAACATGTACTTTTAGTCTTTTCGATACAGCGAATTTTGGTTATGAAATCGGGATGAATCGTCGCACGAGATGGTTTGGAATCATTTTTAACAGTGGAATGAAAATATACCCTTTATTTTAAATCAGATTTGTTGGCTTGGAGCTTCAAAACACTAATTTTGCTCTATTTCTTTATTTATTTCCTTTTCTAGCGGTTCTTCCAAAGAGGAACTGAAAATATATGTTTGTAAACATGACATCACCCTCCTAAAAATGATAGTCCAAAAGTGCTTAACGGGTTTCATCACGCGTGAAGATCATGAAAATCCACTGGGTATTCTTCAACTTTTGCATCAGAAATAAATTATTTTATTTCTTTAGTGATGGAAAGAATTTCCTTGTATACCCAACGAGAACTCTACGCAAAGACTGCACTTTTAAAAACCAGAACTAGAAAAAATGTTGGGTCTTACTAATGCATTGTTTTGACGAAAATTGAGCCGTATCATTACCGATCCGGCTCCATTCTCCAGTCGTGCCCCTGAAGAATTCCTTCATGTCATGATATCAACAAAGGAAAATGAACCACTGTTTTCAGATTTCTAGATCTTTAGATATTTTTGTTAGACAGCTTTAGTTCAACTTAAAACAATGAATGAATAATTCCTTTTTAACGGATTTTTATCGGGTACCGTAAGCCTGAGTACTCAATGCTCGAGAATACTATGTGTTCCCCTTCAAATTAGGGCTCCACTCTACTGAGAAATTTAGTTTCTTGTCATGATCAAAGAAAGGAGAGGTTTCTGTCTTTACAGCTCTGGAATCTAGTGTAGGAACAAAGCTATTGATTCCGGTAACATTAGGAAACGCCCTTATTTGCAGCTGATAGCCGTTAACCCAGTCAAACTTCAATACTAAGGGTTCATTAGGGTCTTGGATAACGGGGATCATGAGATTCTGTGTATTCTGTATAGCATACCAAAGGAAAAACCACAGAAATTCTTCGAAGTAAGTAAGCGTTTATCAATTAAATCTTCTAGCACGTTTGTGAGAAATTTTCGAAGGGATTTTTGCGGTCGACGCTCGAAGCGATTGCACAGTGAACCGAGTAAGTGCAACTCTGTATTTCTATGCCTTGAAAATTGATAAAAACGAGCAAGTATCGGGGGAAAATCTTTTTCTATCATTATTAGTCCTTGTCAGCTTTTTCAAGGTCTTCTCGATCTTTTTCTTCTTCTTCTTCTTCTTTTTTTTTTTTTCTTTTCTCTGAGTCTCTTCGTCCACCTCTCGAATGCGGGCTAGTACTGCCGATATTCCAGTGTTTATCGGCAATCACAGAGACGATGTTGGTTGTGTCAAATCATCCAAATAACGAAATCGCTTTTCATCTATATTATAAAAACATCGAAACAAAGATTTTTCGATTTAACATTTGATATCAGGGACTAGTTAGAAAACAAAACTTGAATATGTTTGTATTATGTTTGTATTTCACAACTGATTTCATTTTAAACAAGATTGCAGTGAATCACTCGTATCTTCAATCTTATCCATCTAAACCTTTTATGTGAAACTTATATATGAAACTTCTCAGGTAAACCCGTTGAAGTTTACGTAGTTAAAATTGATAGCATTTTATGACTTAAAAGACTATTAAAAAGCTTGCTTTGTATTTTGCTAATTTTTCGGAACCTTTTTCTTTCTGTTTTTAGGGTCGAAGCCACGTAAAGGAAATCGAAAACACAAACTCGACAGAAATCCTCGCATTCCTTTCTCATCGACTCAACTCGCCGCTTTAGAAGCTAAATTCGTAGACACACATTATCTATCAAGTGCAGAAGTACGACAACTCTCGTCTTTACTGTCTGTCACTGAACACAGGGTAAAGATATGGTTTCAGAACCGAAGAGCAAGAGAAAAGAAGACTAATGGGACTGTTGAGGAGACTTTTGATGTTGAAAACTAATGCCCAAGAATAACACAAAAAAGGCTAAACGAAATTTGTTGCCATTGACGTTGGGTTGAGAACGCGTGCAGACTTCGCCGCTTGTAAAAGTCCCAGTGATTTCAAAATTTATTGTTTCCCTTTGAATGAATTCAAAACTGACCCAAAAGAATGATCCCATTCTCTTTCGACGAATTCAATGGATTTGGAGAACAAAAAACTATGTGTATTAACTATAAAGTACGTATATAGGTTGCTAACCATACCTCAAGACTGTGTTGTCTGTAAAGTCAGTGTAAAATATACCCCTTAGTAGCTTCTTTTAATGTACAGTAGTTCAAAGACGCAGCCATACAATGGTGTTATAGTTAAATATAAAGTGTATTAACTCTTGCAGTTAGACTTGGGATTTTAAAATAGAATAACGTAGACACCCTAGAATGATGGGTTTCAATTCCACACGGCTGACCGTCCAAGTTTTCAGTTCTCTTCATTCTCGGATTTGTCGCTGCTACGTTGTAAGTCACGTTCAAGAAAAATATGTTTAGTAATACGAAAATAAGTTTATATGTCAATAAGGTGGTGTAATTTGAACGAACAGTCGAGGATATGAGGACTTCGGAGAAGCGAATCCCCTTCTGCCCTACGCCGGTCTACCTTCGTGATTTAGTGATACGCTTATTTTGCGGTCTTTTATCATGAGTCCAACTCACCGGTCCCCTTAAAAACTATAGTAGAAAGTTTTAGATCGTGATTTAATGAAGGATTACGGCGCACTATTAGAATTAAAATTAAGAAAAATAGTGAAAATTATTGTAAAGCAACTGGTATATTCTCGGTACTTTTTCGACTTGATCATGCATAACTAAAACCTGAAAGCAAGGAATTTTTTTCCATTTTTCAGCAAGTTAAAACGTGTTAGAAAATCCCCATTACTTTCCCTTAATGGTTATTTCATCTGCCAAAAAATAGGTTTTGGTTATTTAATCCCTATAAGAAAGTTAAAAGCATTAGTACACTGAAACCAAAAGTCACTGTCATGCCACGCCACGTAGGACGTACTGATGATATCTATAACACTCCACTACACTCGAAAGGTTGAGCGGAGAAAAACTTAAAATCATAGGTTTTGAATTGCATATCTGTTGAATGGAGTTGACGGTAGAGCTATTGAGCTTCCAGATTCTCAAGCTGATATATGAAAGTTAAGATATTAATAATAATAAACCTATGCTATCTCCCTGGAAAGACAATAGGGAAGAGGGCTTGCTTGAGTGACTGTCAGATGTTTAAGAAGTGAACGGACGCCGCACAAGGAGTTTTTCTTTGAAGTGAAGGCTCAGTAATCAAGGTTTGCAGTTTACGAGTACAGCTGCTAATACATTTCAATTAGAAACTGCAAATCAAGTCGAATCAAAACAGATAAATAGAACAAAACCAACTAGGTTATTCTCCAAAGATTCCTAATATGCTTGTGATTTGAAAAGATTATATTAAATTATTTAATAGACCTCCGCCAGCCAGCCCCACTGCATCTTGTAACAATTGCTATGCAAACACACCACTTCATTTTGGCCTAAAACAGAGAATACCGCGCGCTTCTGTTCAATAGTATTATAGCCTTGCACTTCAAAGATAACATCTTTAGGGAACAAAAACGCCTGCTCAATTGCTAATTCTAGCACGCTTGTCTTTGTGGAAATCTTAGCCCTTTTCAAATATCTTTTTTTTAAATAAAAGGTCTCATAAACTTCTTGTCGATTTAATTTTGTTAACGATTTTTGAAGCGCTACACCATTTATCATTTATCACCATATTGCAAACCCCTCACTTAATTCTTCTTCTCCTACTAAACACACCAAGCAAGCAATTGAGAAATCCTTCATAATAATGACTTCTAAGAAAGCACGATTCTCGTAAAACTAATTAATTGATTTTGAACACTGGATCTATTTCAATCTGAAAATGAGATTGATGACGGCGTATTAGAGTCAAGTTGCCCATATGGATTCATGATATTCCCGGCCAACCCACCAGTACACTTTCCTTCTTTAGCGTCTTTCGTCAAATTGTTTAAGGACGAGTTTTGACGAGAAAATAACTTAGTAATTTCCTACGAGATTCTTTTAAGATCAGGCGATATTAATTGGAATTCGACAGTTCAAAACAAGTGAATGGGTTGGACTTGCAGATTAGTTTATTTCATAACTGAAAAATCTACTTTAATGAAATATGAACCACGACCTAGTTCCATACTGAGGAAGACCTGACAAATGTAAGACAGGTACTTAAAGAAGGACTTCTTATAAGTTGATATTTTAAATGTTGGCTTGATCTTAAAACGAACCTCATTCATTTTAACGATTTTCATCATCACCTTCATTATTTTAGTAGTTTATATCTTTTGTCGCTACTTCTTTGTTTTTGACAGCCGAAGAGATTTGAAATCAAGATAAAGACGTGATAATAGCAGGAGAATGCTCAAGTCATACTGAACATCTTGTGAGTTTTGCGGTTCGTTTATTAAATGATATCGTTTTTGGATTGGTATGAGTAGAAATTTGACTTGCCCTGCATTGAATAGTGCCGTATTGGAGATAATTTTAAATCTTCGATTAGGAAATTACGAAGTGTATAATACACCGATGTAACGATTGCGAAATCAAGGATAAAACTACGAATCAAATACGAAAGGCAAAGACAAAAACTTGAAATTTCATGAATGGCAGATAAAATGTCCATTTGAAATTAGAGTTGCCAATACGCGGAATGAGGCACGATCAAATTTGTCTCTGAATAAAGAAGCCAGTAAGAACAAAAGAGAGAAGGATAAATGAAAAAGAGATACACAAATAAATGAAAATTAATTTGGATTAAAAAAAAAGAGAAGAAGCCAAGAGAAAGGATCGAGTGACTAAATGCATGATATACTTATTGAAATTGGACGTTTTTTTTAAAACCTCAGGTTTGTTTTCAAAATGTTTGACAGATGAGGGAAAAATCAAGAAAGGCAAAATCATGTGAAATCGATTGCAATACTAGAAAAATGCAAAGACAACGAACTGAGAACAATTCCCGTCAGCAGCGACGATCATATTTGCCTCCTGTTGGCAGCTTTATTTGGCTTTGTAGCAGGCAAATTGCTGTAACTTAGTGATTTAAACTGTTTGGGTAGTATGTGAATGATAATTAAGGATGGTCATATTGGCCAGCCTATTTTCCTATAACAATAATATCATAATATAGCTAAGCCACAAGTTTACCGAATTAGATTTAGTAGTTAATTAGGATGAGAACGGGAAAAAAGTCATACAGAAAAGTCATGTTCAGGCAGTCTGTGTCCGTTTTTAGATGAAAATGAGCAGACATTGGTTCGTTATCTTTAGGCGTTGCAATAAAAACGGGTCTGTACGCGAGATTGAATTTGTGTTCACAAACAAGACCTAAAACGCAAAACAAAGGGAAAACAAGAACAAAAATTTGTGTGTACACACGTGAAAGAGGGAGGTAGCAAGTCAGTGGAATAAATCGATGATTCAATGAGTGTTCTTCGTCTTCCACTTTTAGTTTTCCTTGATCTCTGGTCCGGCACTGAAGCCTTATTTTTTTTGCATTACTAAAGAACAAAAGTAACATGTTTATGAATCTAGCTTTTCGGCATTTAATATTCTTGAATCAATTTGATGAGAGTGACAAACAGGGTGATAATTCTAAAAAGAAACATTTGCTTTCGATTGATTGCCTGCCTGAATAACCATGAACTACTCCAAGCCTCTTTATTTGCCTGGCACATAAAAGCCTTACCCTAACAAACAGGAGTTTCTCTAAAAAATAGTACCCTAAACTGATCAATCTGTTCTAGACTTGCAGACGACAGATTGAGACACGTTTCAACCCGAGAAAAGAGTGTTAACACCAACGACTTATATTTTAATATCCCATTATGTTGAGAGAGTTTTTAGTCACAACTTAGAGCGTCAGCCTTTATTCCTAAGATTAGTTGGTGAATAGAATCAGTCGAGGCGTCGTCAGCCAGGCTGTGGCTGTAATCTCTGTGTTTTCAATTGGTTCAATCAACTGATCTCTTTACGGAGCACTAAGCCCACCGATGCTCGTATTACGATGGTAAACATGTTTGAAGAGCACATGTCAAACCTCAAGAGAAACTACTTGATTTAATTCGTCTGAAAAAGGTAACGATTCCATGGTCAGTAGGCAGTTGATATATATATTCAGTTTAGTGAGAAACAACTTCTTCGAATTACGATGGTAAACATGTTTGAAAAGGCACATGTCAAACCTCAAGTGAAACTACTTGATTTAATTCGTCTGAAAAAGGTAACGATGCCATGGTCAGTAGGCAGTCGATATATATTCATTTCAGTGAGAAACAACTTCTAGGATTGAAATGTTTTTCTCTCTTAAAGATATTATCGAACTTATCCCGAACATGACTGATTTAGGCAACTAACAAAACTGCGATTGTAGAATAAACAAGAAGGTAACAGATTCGATCGTGCGCAAGGAGCCATGCAGCTAATTTCCAAGCAGATTCACTAGGCTTAAGCTCCCTTCAATAGTGATTCCAAAGCCCCACTAATATTGCGATGTTTCTAATGACCCCGGATTAATTAGAGGCGTCTAGAGTACAAAGAGAGCTTTGTGCTAAACCCATTGGTAATAAACAAGCCATTTCCGGAAACCTAATATATAACTCAAGAGGTTTAGATTAAATGATTGCATTACGATGTGTTGATGCACAATAGATGAGGTGAGAATGGTTGTTTATTTTGACGCACATGATTACCTTTGTGTCAATAGTTATCCTATCAAAGAGGCTTACCTCTTGAGACGTATATCTTTCCTAGTTACACACACACAGACAAGAACAGTTAATCTTGGAAGGGAACCATTGTGTGGCTGGGATAGAACTCGCCAACTGCTCACAAACAGTAACCTGATTTCAATTGCCACTCCACACTTATAGAAATCACGAAGCAGAGTTAATCACAAGGGAGGAG